TTGCCTCCCGTATTTTATATTTAGTAAGAATACAATCATAAACAATTTATTTCTAATAATAATTAATTTCTTATATACAAATAAATTACATTAAATCCTTTATCTTACGTTTTACTTTGCAATTAAAGACATTTCAAATATTTTCTTTTCTTTCAAGTTTTAAGAATGATTTTCTGAATTGCTTTCGGAACTTTAAATTACTTTAAGATCCCTTACTTCACCTAGACGAAAGCATTTTATACTTTAAGTGTTAGTTTTAGTCTGGGTATAAAAAATATGGATAGAAACCACCAAGTACTTGAGTTGGGAATTATGGTTCTTACGTGTTTATAAATTTAATGCGCGACCCTTGATGGGTTGTGGACCGTAGCAGTCGACCGGCCATGGCTAGAATAAAAACTCATAGTTTGTTTACCCTTCAGAGTGATTTGACCTTTTATGTTTCAATCACAAATTAAACAGCTTTATATTATTTATAGCTTTGTAGTTTTGTAGTGAAGAGTATCGTTTATATTAATGTTAATTTATATTCGTGCATAAGTTATATAAGCATATAAGTTCAGAAACAAATTACAACAACAATTTATAAGTCCATATAAATATTCAAAAAATTATAATTAAGCAAGTACGTATGTTGAATGGCTTCAAAGTTAAGTTTATCACAATATTTGTACATATCGACTAACACTCGTATCTTATCCTATTATCATCAAACGTGGAAGGTATGCGATGTATAATTTTATTAACATGAGAATAGGTAGTCCGTGAATCATCTAGAATTTCAGAACTCAATTTCCTCCGATACATTTCCTATAGATTTTCCTTGCCAAGAGAACTTTACAATGCGATTTTGCTGAATATTATTTGAAATAGATCTCAGGCGACAATATTTACAGTGGTACTTTAGTTTATGGTTGATATTAATATTGCATTTTATTACGTTAACTTCACACAATACTTGTCAAATATTTTGTTATTGCTTACCATTTGGCTAAGAGTATAAAATAGAAAAATTCATAAACATTCCCACACGTTCTTAGGAATATTTGTTCTTTGGAAGAATAAAATGGATAAGTGAGAATGTTATATTCAAGTCATAAAGCATATACTCGTTTTTATATATCTTATTATAACCTCTCAGTTACTTGTTTTGAAATACACTCTCATTCCTTTATTTGAGAAAATAAAATTATAAAAGAATAATAAAAATGAATTCATTCTATTGATATGAAAAATGGTTCACTATTAAATACAAGATATTACATTAGACAACTAAGTTTATGGCAAAGGATGACAATAAATTGACCATCACAAGATCGAAAGGCGCGGTGTAGCAATTGAATTTAAATGGTACGTTTATAACAAAAACACACGCTTATAGCATAGAAACGAGACCATTTAGAAAGACCAAGACAAAAAGTTACGAAAAATAGAACCACAAAAGTTACGCCATCCACATAAAATTTGAATTTCAACGGGTAAGGATAGATAAGCTCTTAAATATATGGGTTTAACATTGCTATTAAGTTTAGTAAACCTCATTGGCGTAACTTATTATTGATTAGAATTGGTATTTGTAGATGTTTATAAGTAAACATAACATATTTTCAAGTGTAATAAAATATTAAAAGTAAAAAATGTAAATAATAATGTAAGTGACACATGTTACATAAGTCGTTATTTAAACAAAACTGTCTTTTAATCAAGTATTTACTCCGTTTTCTAGTTTGCAACAAGTTAAATTGAAGACCGCGTCCGGTACATAAATTTAAACTTTTAGCATGCATTTTAATCCCTTTATAGTTGCCTGTACTACGTTACTGTTGCTAAATGAGTTTACTAGTTAACTAAATGTTCTAACAATTTACATATATACAGTTTCTCCTATTCAAAAGAAATCTATTAATTACAATTAAATTATAATATTCACTTCCCTTTTTGGAAAAACATGTTAATGACAAATAATAGACATCGGATTAACTGAGTAGTACTAAAAAGAACAACGTTTTCTTTTATAGCATGAATTTTTAAGATATAATTTTCTAAGCTCATTGAGAAAAATGTATATATTTTTTTTGTTTATATTTGGAATTTTCTTTAGCCTGATCTTTTTAATATTTTGACAGCGTGAATATAAACGTTCCCAAAATCGTTATAATACTAATAATTATAATATGAAAGTAAGGCAATTTTGTCGAGTTATCAAATTATATTCGTTTTATTTATTTTTCCCTATAATTAATGTAATAAAATTTGTAAAACTCATTAAAAAAATTCAATAAAATTACCGTTAACTTCGAAAGGTGATAACGACGTTGCATTCTTATACGTATGAGTCATAATGAAACTTCATTTTTGAAAGTTGTTTAAACTATATATGAACAATAAATAACAAAAGTTGCAAAGAAGGTTTATTTGCTTGTATAAAAATATACACTTTTTTATTAAAAGAAAAAAACTCGTGATCTTGAAAAAGATTTCCATTCTCTATACAAACCAAGGCTATTACAAACCAAAAGCTTAGGATAATATTGTTTATCTTTTCAAAAAACTGATTACTTCTTGGTATTGCTCCAAAACATCAGGTAACTATGTACTTCACGTGTAATTTGTGGGTTCCGACTTTATTTACCAAAATCATAAAACATTATTTTGTTTTGTTTTGTTGCACATACATTTTGAATATGAATAGCGTCATGAATTGAATATTTTTTGTTTACGTTCGGTAAGTAATGAGCATTGACAGTGGGCATCGGCAAGTAATGATCACTGTTAAGCCAAGTAAGATAAATTTACATATATCACATACTAATCAGCCGCTCTGCTAAAAGTCTATCTAACAAAGCGGGTTTATTTAGCCGTTGAATCGAAATTGCGAACACTATTAAAAGATCACAACGCTAAAATAGATCTGCACGCCGTCAGGAATGAACAAAACATGAAAGCCAAGAATACAATAGAGAATATGGAAGTACTTGATTGAGAAAACGAACAGTTGCTACTGACCAAAAATATCGAGGCGTTATGTTAAAACAACAGTAAGAGCTTTTACATGTCGTCAGAGTTCAAAGAATTTTGAAGTACCTATACATTAGTTATATTATGTATTTAATAGAATATCACTTCCCACAATCATAATAGCTATAGTTACTAACCATAATTATCGTGTGAATAAGTATTTGAATTTTTAATTAAAATTTATTGTAAAAGGAAATATGCCGATGGTTAAAAAAATCAATAAAAATGTGGTATGGTTAAGGAACTCTCAGTATTACCGACTGAATGCAATAAGATAGAATGATTAAATCGAAGAAGCGGTTGAATTGCTACTATAAAGAGATCGCAAATCCGAAATAACGCAGTCGACGAACAAAACAAGCAACGGTAGCACAATAAGACAATGTTCCGCGTGCCGGGCAGAGGCGACGTCCTAAGAGGATTTATGTGCGGTATCACCTGCATCCTTATTTCGCTAAATCTATCTTTGTTTCATTCATGTGTACTAGCCACAAATACATTTCTACCATTAAATACATTACGTTTTTCATACATAATATATTTTTGGTCAGTTTCAGATTTTTTGAAGATATATTTATATAGATACAAGTGCTTATAATATCTAAAAATATGCATAGAAAATACGCATATCCTTAAATATATTACGAAAACTGTATGTCACATTTTTAAGAGTAAATATTGTCCTCATGGGATTATTTCTGCACAGAGAAATGAAGTAAAATAGAATTGTTACAAGTACAATTAAACGAAAATAATATAATCTTCTTTAAGTTCAGACAGGCCGTTAATCCTAAAAGAGCTTCATTGGGGAGATAGCTTTAATGAATTTCTTTCATTGAGTATTCACAAAGCAACGGTAGTCCGCTTAGATGTGAATCGGCCACGGTTTTCACAGAAAAAAATAAACAAATCAAATTGCACAGAGTAAGTGCGAAGCGAGGCCCCGCGAGCACTTTCTCATGCAAAAGTCCAACGGTTACTTAAATTCTTAGCTGAACCACTTGTCGGTTTTACGAGCGTAGAGCGATTTAATCCACTTAAAACGCGAAGCACAAACTCGGAGCCGACAAAGCTCTCAGGCGCTCTCATTTAAAAATGGAAATAAACTCCCGGCCATCTTTGACTCGACGCGAGACTGGTTGAATTCTAAGTACGCTTCTCCAGTGGCTAGCTAATGATTCTTTTTGGCTTGATGGATAGCATCCTGTTTGGACAGTAGTTCTAACATAAAGGCAAATTCATTGTAGTGGTTTATTAATTATCGATTATTCTGCGATAGTTTTGTATCTAAATCCATTTGTAGGGTCTGAAAACTTGATAAGCTTAACTATGTGTTCTTTTATAAGTGGTAAAATATTCTATAATAAATCTATTTGGTTTCTCCGACTCTTAATATTTTCTTAAAAATCTATTCAGATGTCATTCTTGTGCTGTTTTTTCTTTAAATAAGGCATCTTCACAGTTTGATTAATAGCTCAACTTTTGTTAAGTATATAAAAAATGCCTTTATTACGCTTTGCTGCTTATATCCTTATTTATTGGCAATTATTTTTCTGGAAACACAAAATTAATTACCCCATTAAAGAAACCCTGTTAGCATGGGTAATTTCAAATTCCATCTAAATTTTAGATCCGCAGTATTTAATTGTCCAGTATCACTCTCCTGTTTTTTCTTTTTCGGGATTCGGCGGAAATTGCGTGGAAGGAAGCGACCTCCAAGCAAATAGGTCTCCAGGCGCCAGATAATTACGGTTTTTTTGTACTTTGTTGGAGTTGAGGCTTTAATAGGCAATGTAATTAGCAAAATGCAACTTTTTCAAACACAACACTTAGTTTATAAATTTGTTTTGTTTAACATGACATTCCCATTATTATGTTAATATTTGTGGCAGCAAAATAAATCTTTTTAAAGCCAAAAATATATTCGTATGTTTAAATATATAATATACTCAACAGTGTTCTAATATACAACTTTGTTATAGGATGGAGACCGAGGCTATTTAGAAGGCCTGGCTTCGCGGTATGCCGATTTATTCTCAACACATTACGGAGATGTACTAGATCATCTGGAAGAACTTAGAAGACATGAATGGGATGAAATGTCTCCGCGGATGAGAGTTCTAGGCGGCACCGGGACACCTCAAACACCACCGTCAGCTAGTCCCGGTTCACTGGCCTTGAATAATTTGACCACATCCCACTCTCAACCTATTTACGTACCAGGAAAATATTCGGTAAGTATATTTCTTAACAATGTATGAAATTATTGTTCCATATTATCGTTAAACTATTTATAGATTTATTGTTCAATTAATGATAACCTATACGTAATTTATTGTTGACAGTCAATTATAAATGTCAACATCTATGATTAGTTCTATTGCTATTAACATTGTTATTAAACTGCCACGAAACTCCAATAAAAACACAATTAAAAAATTGTCAGTGTATCAAAAACCTCAAAAGTCTAAACTCATCCTGACGTATAAATTTCTTGTACGTCAAATGTATGAAATCATTTGCTTGCACAGCCGTCAAGCTGTCTCACGGACAAGGAAGAAGACGATATTTACGGATTCGGGTATGGCGTGTTTGGCAAGCAAATGTTGCAAAGACAGCAACAACAAAAACAACTTCTCCTTGCTCAACCCACGCAACCTTTGGTGCACAATCAACAGCATAATTACCAGAGGTATGTATTATTTTCATATTTATCACATTTCGTAAACAGAAATAAATCAGTGTAAATAAACTCATAAGATATTATAATTATTATAATTTTAACAAAAAAAACGTACACAAGATATTGAATAACTTGCCACAGATTTCGTTTTATACATATTATAATTTTATAATAGAAAAGAAAGTAGAACTACGTATTTATATCCCTTTTACATGGGCTTCAATTCACCAAAAGGATATATTATAAATTATTTGACTGAACAGGTGTACTTGTTAGATAAGCTTTTACTGTGCATGTTAAAAGTCTAATCTAAATTGAAATCAGACGTTCGATTGGCGACAGGAGGTAAGACCGAGAATTGTAGTGTGCTCAGCCGTGAGATTGTGAAATGCTTTTATTGGAATTCCACTTAAATTAACCTATTTTCTTCAATAAACCTCACTATTATTTAACTGTTATAGAATCTTATAGAAAAAGGTTGTATAGTATGTTCAAAAGGATCTAACTAACAACGCTGTACCTAACAGCTTTATGAAATATATAAACTATAATGTATTAGATGTATTCACTAGAGAATAGTAGTTTCAATGTTGTATATTCATGAATTATGTCAGACTTTTCGCAGTACTCTGTAAGATTCATATTTATGGTCACTTTTTCTTTAGTAACATGAGAGAAGCAAAAATAATCGAACGAAAGGATATCTTAAACATTAAAACATTTTTCAATTTGAGATTTTGCATGAAGGACAACTAAAAATTCATTTTACAGTAGTACTTAAAGGTTTGAATTGTTTCACTGGAAACCAAATAAAACACTATAATCTTTATAAAAGTTTTTATATCCTTCTTTGCAAAACAAACACAGTGCCTTGGAATAAAACTTGTCTTTTAATTATCTTATTGTAAGCTGTAAAATAAATTAAAATTAACGAATCAAGAAACGCGTTGCCTTTTAAATTTCGAGGAAGCGTATTCGCAGTAATTATTTTAACAGATACTTAGGTTCTGAGTCACTTTTCCTTATCAATGTGATATTATTAATTATAATTATGTTCGAAACAAGTCTTCAACTATTTTCTATCCTTCAATCAACGTTTCCAAAATCCTTCTGATTAAAAATATACCGTCAAATAATTGTAGTAAAACATTTTAACATTTTGTAGTAAAACATTTTATGTGATGGATTAAAAAAGTTTAACAGAATTATAATATTTTCATCTCCTGTTGTATTTTAACTATAAATTTACCTTTATATTTTTTATGTCGAATGCTAAAGATAAGCTTGAATATTTTAATATAGACAATATTTAATTGATTCTTTTTTATAAAGAGGAGTTAAAAAAAACTTAAAACTTTGACAAGGTTTTTGATATGTCGAAAAATGTTTCCATAAAGATAAGCTTCCACAATAACAACGAATTGCTATTTTACTATATATGACGTACAATATTTGTTTGTTTAAATCATATTGCTTAAGACTTTTTTTTTTGATAAAAAAAAATTTTGAGGAAAGATCATATATAAGTTAAAAAAAACTTAAAACTTTGACAAGACAAGCCGACAGCTTTAAAACCCGAGAACAAGTAGTTTTTGCTCATTGTAGCATACAGAGATGTACAAGTTTTTATCTAGTAAAATCGTTTTGTACCATTACTACTCTCCTGATGACATAATCATGGTTTCAAGCAGTGCAAAATTTTCAAAAACAAAATCAAAGATCATTTCTCATTTGATTGTTATTAATTATTATTTATCTTCGAATACAATAACAAATCGAATGTAGCATTCAAAGCGATTTAGTAAATCATTATATGTTTGTCTATTTTCAATTAATAGTTTTCACTAGGGTAGTGCCAATATGTTATTTTGATAATGTACATTTTATTACTAATTATGTTACTAATTTTCATTTAGAATTATTTTTTTTGACAGACTTTGATAACCTCGATTCAGCAAAATTAAACCGCACTTTTTAAAAAATTAGTTATCGTTTAATTGCTTTTATAAATCCTTTATCACACATAGTCAAATTTTTCAAATTTCAATAATAAATTGAGATTTTTTATCATTGCCATAAACACTCCAGTTGCTTTAACAATGACGTCACAAGTATGCTGACCAAAACAGTCACGTGATATATTTTTGAATTTTATCATTTTTTTGTTTATAATTAATTAAAAAAAAATATTTCAAGTTTTTTGCATTAAAAATCCAATATAATTAATAATAAAGTTTTAAAATACATAAAAAAAATCAATACTTTTTTTTTTTCAAATACTCAATTGGCAATTAAATTTCAATAATATTGTTTATTCATTGTCCAGTAACAATTATGACCAAAAATGTAACATGTTTTAGAAACATTAATTTTAAGCACATTATTATTGTTAAGATTAACTTGTCACCTTTTATTTTCTTTTAACCTATATTTATTACATCACCATAAATTACATCGGTACTTAATATTTTTTTTATTATTATCATTATAATTTTTATTATTTTTCTTGACTTTAACAAGGTCTTGTGAGTTTAAACCTCTTAAAAATTTATCTTTTATTAGACTATTTTACAAAAAAAAATCTAACTTTAACCGTTTTGATCTCTTATTCACAATTCTTATAGTCGATGGAAGAATTATGTTTCAATACATTGAATAAAATCTCAGAAGTACTAGGAAATCAGAGAACACACCCTTTCTTACATCACCCACGCGCCCTATGGCGTTGTTTGATGCTAATTAGGTCTGCTACAAGTTGCTAATGAATTACTTTGTGAAACTTACATCGTCTGATTGTATTTCTCAACATAAATAAGAGCTTTATATGCTATTGGCATAAGTGTACGATTTATTTGTATTAAGTTATTTTTTATATTAAAATTAAGTTACTTACATGAAGTCAAATAAAAACGACTGCTTCGAGATTATTTTTTCCAGTTACATGTTACTTACATTTTATTGGCTGGTATTGCATACTATTATTCAAATTCCATCTTGATACAACATTGCTCTACCCTTAGCATTTATACTTGCGAAAGTTACGATATATGTTGTAGGTGTTAATGGTATATGCAACAGAATAAAATAAATACAGAGACATGAGTACTTCATATCAACAAAACTCTCAGTAAGTTGTGGGTGTCACACGCCTTATGAACAACAAATAAATACTCTTATTCATACCGTGGGTAGAACATATAAAATAAAAGCGGCAATATACTATTGATGGAGATGTTAACTAGTATATAAAGTATCGTAGATTGTACATGTACATATAATAATAAAATGTAATCAAACTATGATAACTAAATCTGTGTACTCTATACTACTAAATTTACGTTGAGAATGAATATGCTTTTGTGTGAAAACGTGAACGTTGGGTCGAATTAATTTAATATGAAATTGTAATCTTTCCTTATATCTCCGCCTTTGACAGTTAACACTACGTCACTGACGAGAATCCGACTAACAAGTAAGAGTAGATAGCAATTGAATGGCGAGAAACGTCTTGATATGAGATTTAGAACGTCATGCTATGTACTGAGGCCAAATCAGGAATTTGTTCCTCTTGATAAATAAAAATATTTTATTTTTAACAACTGCTATATTTTTTAACAGAATTTATTAACAAAAAAAATATTATAGCATTTAAATTCTAGTTGAAAACTGAATAGTAAAATAGTAAATATAATAATGGGGTAAGAAAAATACGTTTAAGACACATTTAATACTCATTTATGATAAAGCTTTTGAAAATTGACAGCACATCAACATAAAACTCATTGATAACGCATCAACATTTAAAAAAAAGATAATTATAGAAAAGGTACAAACGTAGAAAGTCTGTGTATAAAAGCTTTAAATCCTGAATTTATCTAAGTGGGCGCACAAAAGCGCAATACTTCGTTACATTCGTGTTGCTATCTGCCTTTCCTTATGTTTAGTTCGTAGTTGGTTTAAATTGGGACCGGTTATCGTTACTTGCTTGTTTTAAAAGCAATTACCCAACCGCAGCCATGTTAAAGAGGTTAACACGATTCTTATATGGGTGGGATAAAAATGTTACAGCGGCTTTTATAGTAAAATTATATTGTTTACACCAAGAGGCGTGTTAATAGCTATCTGTTGTGTTCATCGTCTTATTCCGTAATAAGACATGACCCTAGTTGGCAGGTTTAAATGAATATTGCTAAGAATTTTTAAATCATTAATGTCTAGGCTGTACTATAAATTGAATTTTTTATCGGGTTCATGAAACCGTTTAAATATTTTCAGTTTTATGTAGTTAAAATATTTAATGTTAGAAAATTTTGAAGGTTCAATTGTTTGCATCGTAGCAATGGAATTCAAACTATCTTTATGACCTATTTGAAAATAGCTTGTAATTTCTTTCAGTATTTATAAGTTACCAAAAAATTCATAAATTCTCTCAGTGTTAATTACTCGGCAGCTGTAACTTGCTCAATGTGATAGATTTATATTTTCATAATTTCTGTTTTTATCGCCCTCAACTGATGCGATAACTGGAAATCGTATGTACTGATTCCGTAAATGTGATTGCTCACATAAATTTATATTCGGCGAACTCAATTGGACCGAAAATCAATATTCATTGCATCGTTTAATACTACCGCTGTGATACCGCTTCTACTGATTTATTATCCTTTGTGGGGTATATTTGGTGGAAATTAAATAAGACTCAATTAACTACCTTACTTTAATTACCGAGAAAATAAAATTATATACATGTACATGGGTTATTATCTTATTATATCGGTCCTCATGTAACAATGAAATGTGCTATAAAAGGAAAGGATCAAGTACTACTGATTAATATTATAAGGACTCCGTGAATTATTAACTTGAGAAGATATTTCTTTATTTCTCAAGAGAATAAAGTTTCGCAGATATTATTCTTTTTTAGGTTACAACACAATGGTAACACTTTTCTGTTTTAAGTAAAGAAAATAATAAAAAATAGTTATATGCATCAAATAAACTGAAACGAAGTAAAATGTGGTTCATTTAAATTAGTCTTTACAAGCTCTTCGACGCTTTAAATGACACCTACATTTCTCTACACCAAAGTCTGTTAGGAAGCAACCATTGGCTTGGAATGCAGCTCTTTGAGCTGTCAAGATACTGAGTAGTTACTTTTTAAATATATTTTAAATATAAACGTAATAATATTCATAATGCACACGTAAATCAATCTACTAATACCCATATTTTTAAATCCTTATTCAGAATTGTATAATGTGATGTTTTTTGTATACATAGTACCTACTTTTATTTTAATTATATCTAGATGTATGTACGTCTCTATGAAAGTATATTTTGTAATATTTATGTACATATGCTGAGCCGTGTGGAATTTACTGATAATGTTTGGTAGAAGCCAAAAAAAACAGTAATAGTGTTAACACAGTTACCTTAAAATTTATGGAAAATATATGTACATAGCAGTATAATCACATTGTATAAAATATTTATTCCCTTGTCAACGGTCTCACAAGACTCATGTGTACAAAGAACGCCATGAGTATTTCCAAGTCCTCTTGTAAACAATCATACTCTTACAGGACTAGGAAACAATTCAGGATGTACTTTTATGTTGTTCACCATTCTGCAATGCTGAGATTATAAAAGGATAAAATAATCAATTGAAATAAAAAAAGCAATTGTAATAATTAATTGAAATTGATAACATAAGATAAAAAACCAATAAACATTTCTTTATTTGTTTATATAATTATATGACACACACACACCCATACAAACAAACACACACACGTATGTCATATTACTCAGATGTAATACAATCATGACCTATTTTTATAAAATTTTACCTTACTCACCCCCAAACTCCACGTTGTTAAAAAATGTGGATTCACAAGCAAACCCGGCGAAAAAACTAGATAAAACACAATTATGTTATAATTGTAATATTGTTATTTTGTTTCAGTTGTCTAAGTCCACGATCAGCATACTTTTATGAGTTTCCACCGAGTGGTAAGTGTTTTTTATTCTATAATTAATAAATTATAGATGAATGCATCTTTAAGTTTAAATATTATAAGAAACAATTCATAAATTTTATATTTAAATTCAAATTCCAATATAAGTGAATAGCCTATTAAAATGAAGTCGTTTTAACAGCCCGAAACTAAATGTCAAAAAGTTTTCACTGCTATCATAATTTACGTTTAGATAACTGTCTGGGTACTGCTAAGAAGAAGGTTACGACATTTTCGAGATTGCTTCGCGGCTTGAAGTCACATAGAAAAGAGAAACACGGCTCCTGTTCGCCGAAACATTCCCACAGTCCACGACAAGGGTTGCCTCCTCAGAGGGTAATTAAAAAATATTGTTCCTATAACAGTTCCGCTATTTGTTTTGTTTTCTTCGGACAAAATCTTACAATAACTTCAATGATCATAACATTATGCAAATTGTGTTAAAATACAAGTAAGTAAAATGTTACTTGTATCATTGTTTTGTGATTTGATTTATTTATATTATAAGATAGCTGCAGACACTAAGACGTCTAACGAGAAATACATGTGTAAATATTCTGAAACGTATTTGTAAGTTTTACGTTCCGAAAAATAAAATTTTGAATAATTTTCAAGGTCTTATCGGATCGAACTTTAAATCAGGTAAAATGTGTACGAAATATAATTAAGAGTGACATAGAAAAGCACCTAACTAAGCATGGTCCACGTGTGAATTAGCATGAGGTCTTAGACCAAGGATCCAGAGACGGGTCCTCAAGCGTGTGCTAATTAAATTTAGTTGTGTGTGCTCCTATATAGTTGAAATATTATAGTTTCTTCTTTTGAATAATGGTGAAGTGGTTGTTATTATATGTAGGTACAAACAGTAATATAAGATTTATTAACTTGTTATTAAGTTTGTTACATTAAGTTAGCTTTTCTGTCAACCATGACTAAGAGTCAATAAACAGTGTTAATATTTTAATTGACCTATCTCTGTCAAGTAACTATTTTTCACACGACTTGATTTTGATAAATTATTTTGTACATACTGTACATTTATAATTACTGGTGTGTACTGTAATTTAAGAACTGAAACAACTTAACTAACAAGATTTCAGATGGGATCGGAACAAGAGACATCCTAACATAGCAGTGTGAAACCAAATCTTAGCTAAAGTATGTCTGCCTTCCTTTTTTTTTCATACATTCCTTTTCTGCCTCCATCCGCCATTATGTCGATCCGGCGCGACGCCGGTCCGTCTTTGACATGCACTCGCAGCAATTAGTATGACGCGCCGTGCATTTGTATGAATGCTACCATGACCAGTTTTTTTAGGGAACATGTTCTCTAACTACGCTGCTCCATTCATAGCTAACGCTGTACTGCTTAGTGTATGCGAGGCTTAGTTTGTTTGGCATAACATAGATTTATTCAGGCGTAAGATAATTATATATGGTTTACATAAAACATTTAAGGATTTTTAAATATTTTTAGTAGAGTTTAATATCATAAATTCTCACATAAACTTCAATTACTAAAACTTTTTTTGTAAACAATGAATTAAAAATGAACTATTCAGCGACTTAAAAATATCTCATGGCATTATGGTTGATGTCTGCCCTACCTGGTTACAAATAATTAACTATTACATTAAAAGCAATTTTATGAACTTGCCTTGAATACGCAACTCATCCTTACCGAATTAAGAGCTACATTTTTCCACGTCCACGTATATTTATTAATCTCTAGACGTTAGGGTACGTCACCGTACGCCGTTGAGAAATGACGGCTGCCAAAGTTAAGTCGGTTGAGCCAAGACGGCGCCTGAATTATGGGCGTTTGTTGAGAGAAGGGATGAAGGCCATTAGGGCGCAAGTATAATCCTTATCGGGCAAGTTGCACTTAGGATTAGCCCTGTCAGAAGTTGCTTTTTTCGAGTTCGAGGGGCTTTGTCCAGCTGTGATTAGAGGATTAGACTAATACTTTATAGCTATCTGGTAGAATTTTCTCTGAGCTTACAAGGATGCGTCTAATGATATATGTTATGTCATTTCCTATAGTGTGAGAAAGAAAAGATAAAACATTAGTCTTTTTTGATTAATATTAAAACTAACTAAAATATAACGACTTAGAACTAGCTGCGTATTGAACAATATTTCAATTGAAATTCTATGTTCATCTTTATTCTATGCTATTATTTTGCTCTATAATTCTACTATTACAGTAATATGACTTTATACATACTTGATATAAGTAATAAAACTTTGTTTTGCCACAATGTTGCGGCTTTCACAAATAGTCTATGCATTGCAAATACTCAACGGCTATCTTTCATAATGTGCTTTAGAAAGACTAACTACCTACATCTCAGAGGTTAATGATAAGCACCGAGTTTATTTTTTTATACTTTCATAAAAATTGTGAACTCTAAATAGCTGTTCCAAATTTAATCGAAGTTAATCTTTTCAAAATACAATAGAAAAATTCGACAAAGGATATCTGGACAAAGTAAAGCCTTTTAAAGTTGCGAACCTACAAAAGTTGTAACACAGAACGAATTTATCACGTTCACTGTGGTAATATTTTCAAAGCCATGCTTCTGACAAAGATTATTTTCTTTGTACATAGAGTTACTTTAGATTTTATTCAGGTTTCTTACAATTCATATTGTTCATCGAATATTTGCAATAATGCTGTTTAATTACTTTCTATCTTAGTAAAATATTTAAAACATTGAAAATTTCAAACTTATAAACACGTATAAATAATTTTTGTTTTTTTTGTTTATTGAAATATAAGGAGGAATAAAAATACCTGCAACTTCATTAATCATTCGCACTTAACATAAGCGCAAAAGGATATCTGCATCACAATGAGGTTTTATAGGCGCGAATCAATTAATCATAGGCAGTACAAAGCATACCCATTAACTTCGTACTTGATAAGGGAATAATGTGAATCGACGACAATGGACATTTCTAACGCCAAAACCCGTATACTGGACAGTTTAAATTTATACTCCTAACAATTTCATAATCTTAACCCTTTTTTGCTAATATTATTCGAACCATTAATATGATATCATAATTTCGAGATTTCTATTCAAACTATATTGAACTAGAGGAAGCTTTTCCTCTCAAGTCTGATATAGAATACTTTAATTGCTATAATATCATTTACCTCTTTACAGAATACAGTTCAATTAAATTATCATCTTTATTTTATTTTATTTTACTTCATATAAAAATAATTGTAAACATAAAATTGTGGTGAATTACTATATAAGTTAATTACATAAAAAAACATTTAAAAGTTTCTGTTAGCCCATGATTAGCGAAAAAGTTCCGTGGAAAAGTTAACTCAGCTAACTATATTTGCGAATAACCTTAGAAGAAAAAATGTCTAGCTGCTTTTGATAAATGACCTGCTTCAATATAATGTTGAATAATTTAGTAAGTACCTTTATATTAGGATAAGAGCCACCAGTGAATTTTATAAATTGTAGATCCATAATTTTGCTATAAAGTCTTAGTGTAGTTACAATGGGGTATTTAATAGTATAGAGAAGTATACGACTCGGTTAGTATTAATGTGTGGTTTTATAATAGGATGAGCGATATTATAGGGATTAAAGGATTTCTTCGGGTTTTCCCGTGGGGATTTAAGGTTGTAATATGTAAACTTTCCTCAGGTTGATACACCGGACAGCGTGCTTCAAAGTGGCTTGGGCTTAGGCCCTGGCCCTGATACAGCTTTGAGGTCTATGGTAGATCCAAGAGACTATGACCGCCTCCGCTTCTTTCAAATGAGTGCCGCCCAACCAAACACCTTCGAAGAAACGATACATAGGGTGAGCTGGCAATTTCCTGCTGGTCGTATTTAAGAGACTCTATTTTGGTATTTAAATGAAGAGTTTTGATTACCACATACTAGGACATATCGGTAGGCCTGTTGTTATAAGAGGTACAACTAGCACGAGAAAATAATTAAAGTTCAAGTGGTGTTAATATAAATTTACTAACAATTATCTTAAAAACAAATTCAAGGGTCTCTTAAATCGTCATCGCAGGAAAATTTTCTGTTATGCTCTGGACGGCAAAGCGGATAAATTGTTGAATTTTATATATTTTTTATTACAAAGGAAAATATACTAGAAATTAAACTATTGCTTTGTTTTTGAAATGTAAGTTTCAACATTTCTTTCGCGTTTTTATGTTGCCAACAGCGGTATAACAGAATTCAAAATTCAAAATTATTCATTGCATACCTTGTTTTGGTTTACATTTGGTATGGTCAAAGAGCAGGAGGTGGATCTTTCATAACTGAATAAATAATTTAGTTATTATAAAATGGATTAAAAATGTAAATTATTTTATCACAGCACGTATCATGGCACTGTATTGAATTTTAATGCACGAAACTGCACGATTTTCAGACGCATGTCGGCATGATCTTTTTTTGTGATATTTCCCCTATTTTTGTTTTTGTTGTAGCTAATTTTTTAAATGTATTCTAATATTTTTGCATTTTGTTTTGTAAATTTCAGCTTTTTTCGTTTTTATTCTGTTTTTGTTTTTTTTTCTTTATTGCGTTTATTCACAATTGCACCTTAATTTTTACTAAATGTAACCATAATTATGTGACTAAAAGTAGAGTTAAATTTTATATTTTTGTCATTATACTTACTAACAAAACGATTGTGCATCCTATCGTTATAATATTCAACCTTCAAAAACACAAAGGCATTGATTAATAGGTTTATGTTTGTTGCAGTTAAAAGTTCAGGAAGCAATGAAGAAAAAAGATAAATTGGCGAGAGAACAAGAAGAGGTAAATCCTTATTATTTGTTTCGCCAACTTTGTTAAACTTTAAGATTTATTGTTGTTTTCAATAAAAATATAGGAAAAGTATATGTAAATTTATATACTACATTATAGTAAAGAAAAAGCGCTACTTCCATTTTTTGTTATAAATATGTTTGTCTGTTAAAAAATTGTTTTAACAATTAACAAATATTATATTTATCAGTTAAATAATTTAGAATCTGAATGCCTGATAAAATTGCTCAAACAATAATTGTAAATGAACCTTTAATCTTAGTCGGGCGTACGATCTGAGCTTTGGCTAATCATGTCCTAATCTCCAGCTAAGCCTATTAAAGGCGGTTGTATTGCTTCTCTACGAAACTTTGGAAGCCCTTCACCAAGTATTACATTCGCCCGTAAATCTACAGGATATGAATACCAAATAGACCTAAAACTGAATATATATTCTTGTGAAAATAAACTTTATCTCAAAGCATTTGTGCCGATAATCAAGTGAACGGTTCTGGAATAAGAATGTTACATCTTTCGAATCGATCATTGAAATTTTACGGCAGCAATAAACAATTTTCCAAAGTTACTGTGACCCCAATAATGAGAAAGTTTAACCCTAAATTAATATCGGTTTCAGAAGCATTTACATTTTCCGCATTCGAGTAACTGATTTTATTGAAACAAAAATTCAAAAGTTTTATAAAAGGGAAACATAAAAAGTATTTTGCAAAAATATTTAACTATATTATTATTTATATGCCTTTTTAATAATTAAAAGTTAACCATGGTGCATAATTATGGCAAAACTAAATAAATTTCACGGTTTATGCTTGATAATTAGTGGAATCCTATTCTGCGCCACGACACGAAATCTCATTTGCTCGCAGACTCCCAAATCCCAGCCATTTACTTCTCGTGTCGCCTCAGTAACAAAACGAGCATAAATTAACTTAACGTTCAATACTTTCTTGCTTACAGAAAACGTTCTTTTATAACCTAAGTTAAATGGTTTTTATCAATAGCCTATAGAAAATACATATATCCTAAAATACATATGTTTATATTTAGTTTAAGTAATGAAATAATCTAGTAGTACTAAATATAATATACAAGTATAAATATATGTCTGTATTACGTTCCTTAATTAATATATAATCTTACGGCGATAAGTAAAAATAATTTATAAACCGGTAAAGGTACTGCAATTTTTATTTTTATTTTCCTCGATAAAACCAGTGTTTTTTGAGCTTTCGACTTCCAATGGTTATGCAAATTAGATACCTTTCGTTGGCCCTAAATTATAAGATCATTACCAAAGAATTTTATTGACGTTAGCACCGAAAAGTATAAATGGAACATTCATTTTTAAGTCCCGCTTTAATGGAGCTTAAAATTCGAGATTAAGAAATTATGAGATATTTTATTCTTAATTACTTTTTACTAAACATAACTACAACTCTCAATAGCTTTGGCACTTAACGAATAAAGAAAAATGCACGTAATTTACATTAACGAACTTCGAAGCAAGAAAGGCACAGTTATAGAATGTAATTAATAAACAACATTAAACAAAAATCGATAAAAAACAGAAAAAGGTATCAATGATACACGTTACTGAACCAGTCATGGTCGTAAGACGACGTATATTTTATTTGTATAAGCACTTTTCCAGGGAATGATAATGATGCATTAATTTACAAGTAGCTCTTTAATTTAAAAATATTTTAAATGAAGAAAAAATTCTGCAAAAATAATTAATTTTCAGATTTAACCAATGAATCCGTGTATGTGTTAAATTCAATGGAGAGTTGGCATACCATAGAGGTCCAGTTAATTAGTAACATTTGCTACCAAAGCATATCTTTATAGAAATAACATGAATATTATGTTTTCTGTAGCACACAAATAAGAAAGGAATGTCATATTGTTTTAACTAAGAGTTTTTCTTAATTTAGATTTTAATATACTTTGTTACAGATTTTAAGAGACATAAGACATGGTCTGATGAACATGGGGAGAGATGGTGTCCGCGGGCCATTTGGAGGTATGTTGCCATATGTTAATGTATATGTTACTATACTCATATTAAAAAAGAATATATGTATCTTGTAAAAGAGAATAAAAGTACAAAGTTCTTAAATGACTCTAATGATGAAATATTTCATTTAAAATCAGTTTAAAAGCTATTTATAATAAAATCTGTACTTTCTACGTGAAAAATGTATTATAATGGAAAGGGAATCCGAACAACAATATAATACATTATAAATTTGATTTTTATTGTTAATGTGATAAGTACTTTATTATAGTATTTAATAACCCTTACCATTGTATTATAAAAAAATATGTAAATATATATTTGTGTTTGGTGGCTTTATGATATTATGACTACTTTATTTTTCTAAAATGAATTTTATTTTCATTTAATTTATTCGTTGCTTTGCTTCGAAAATTTAGTTTTCTTAAGATGATCCAAGAAATTCAAAATATTCAAGCTGCCAATCCTTTTTAAAGAGAAATTATGATTTATTGTGAAGCATGTTGCCTGCACGATGTTGTGACACTTAATTTATTGGTCAATGTTGCGGAATGCTTATTCTTCAGGATGTTTATTGATTTATCGTCCGGTATCACATGTCATACGATATGCTTTCGATGTGCATTTTTCATCAATTATGTTCCTTTTTATTTTAACAAAGAAAACAAAAGAATTATTACAGATAATTTAAAAATATATTCTTTTGCTGTTAAATCATAACGGAATATATTAGTGATCTCATCTTCATTCAAAAAAGAGTATAATATTATTTGCGGCAAGTGCTGTTTGCATGTTGTTTTTATGAATATTTTGCATCAACCACGCACGGCTTTCCGATGTTCGTAAACAGCTTAATGCAGTGTTGTCAGTGAAAGCGCCACTTGTTGTAGGAGGGACTTTAACGGTAAATTTTTTGCAATTATGTTAGCACGTACCTTTTTATTTGCACTTTTGAAACTTTCGCCATGCAAGCCTAATTGAAGAACCATTTACAGACGACACATACATGTATGACGATGAAGCAAGAGGGCTTTCCGGAAGGGGGCATTGGTACGATGAGCCACCCTATGAAAGCGACCCTGAAGACTTTTTAATGGGTGGTGGCGCTCCTGCAGCTTCATTTCAAAATGGACGAGTTTGTTTTACATTAAATTTACGAAATGAGTCAAGAGGCGAAGGTGTGATTTCCCTACGAACGGCCGGCGATATAAGTTTAGCAAGAACCCCTAGAAGAGGATTAATAATTCCGCAAAGCGGCCCCTACCCAACCACTGTGATACCCTTACGAACAGCGAGAGATAGGGAAAGCGGGGATTATGCGGCATCCGACATCCAATCTATAGGCTCGAGGTTGTCCGGCATATCTCTAGAATCAAGTCGATCCGAACGGGACTGTAGAAGGGGCTATAGGCAAATGTCAGGCTATCGGATAGGAATCGACCCCTTATCGCCAGCGTCCTCGGACTACGAAGATCAAGAAAGCGAAACAGATTCACAGCATATAGCAACTGTACATAAGGTAATTACAAATTTAATACTTTGTAAGCATGCGTCATCGTAAATAAAATAAAATGATTACTAGATTTGTATTTAATTTATATTTCCCAACTATTATTACTTAAATGTTATTCCAGTCAGCCGAAGAATGTGACGGAGTATCAAATCTTGCTGGTAAAGTCAGAGGTCTTAGACAAGATGTTCAAAGAAAAATTTCAAGGTTACGTCAAGAAGGAGGGCCTGTCATCTCTTCCGATAGGCGAACTAGTGGCGATCAAGCATTTCCATGTTCTAATAGTTCTTTTGAAAGTCTTCCCAGCGGCTCAGGCAGTAGTGAGTGGATTTATTAAGTTTTGTCTGTGTTAATATAAAATATTTGTAAATAAGTTTGTCTTTCTTTTCTTTGTACCATAACGCCCATTAGATGACATAAAACCTTGTATATTTTGTTCCTTAATTCTAATTTTATAATTTCTTACTAATAAAATGTGAAATAAAATTGACTTTTGAAAGTGTATGTGTGTGAACAGGTACTTTATCACTTCATCACTTTGGTTAAAAGCATACATACGTATAAACTACTTCGAGCTTTAAGCAGAATTAAATTTATATGCAGGCACCCAGGCATTGGTTCGTGCCGGTAGTAATCATTCGTCTCTCTCGGCAGAAGAAAACATAGAATTAAGTCCAGCTGGGCGGAGTCTACTTGTACCGCAAATGCTGTGCCGCGCTCGAGCACTCGTCGATTATGTCCCCAACATTTATGAAAAGGACGCCTTAAGATATAAGGTACTTCCTTCATTTCCTTTTCTTTTTATTATTAAATTGTATGATAAAGTAGCATTTTATTTTAATTTAAACTACAGAAAGGAGATATCATTGAAGTTATTAACATGAATGCGTCCGGCATTTGGCGAGGTGTTCTAAACAATAAAGTTGGAAACTTTAAGTTTGGAAATGTTGAAGTTCTATCCGAACGGGATACAATGAGGTCAAGAACTTCTAAATGGTGCAAAAGTCGAGAAAGACTTTGGGAGACAAGACCGCGAACAGTTGAAGAATTATTGAGGCGAATAGATTTACCTGAATATATGGTTGCGTTTTCAAGAAATGGTTATGAAGACATAGAACTTTTTAAAGAGATTGAACCTTCCGACTTGGATTATTTAGGAATAATGACCCCTGACCATCGAACACGCATCCTCGCCGCCGTACAACTGCTACACCAGCTAGAAAGTGAGTTGTAATACATTCTACATATTCAATAAAAACTTCAGTTTAATATAATTTAATAAAGTTTATATTCTACGAGTGACTTATTATTAAATAAAGTAGTGTAATTAAATAATAGGTGGCGAAGGTGAAGGTGAGGGTGACGGAGGCGGTTCCAGCTCGGAAGGAGGAGACTCTCCGTTTGGTCGGCGTCAATTTCCAAGAGATTCTGGCTGTTACGAAGCTGGAGTAGGTGTAGGCGGTGTTAGAGTACGCACATCTCCTCTCGTTCATAGAACAGATGAACCATCTCACAGACCTCCTGAACCAGCTCCTCAAGCAAAACGTTCCATTCGTCGTCGACAACCAGATGACGCTGAATGTGACAGAATCGAAAAATACCCCGGCACTATTGGAGAAAAAACTAACGTACGTACTGGGGGATTACCGGGAGGTGCTAGAGATGGCACATGTGAGTCCGATCATAAATTGAATGTTGTCAAGTTTGTAGCCGGAGGAGAGCCTTGTGCTTCGGAAAAGAGTAGCGACTCGGGTGTGAGCAGCTCTTCTTTGAGCTCGGCGCATCCACATCGTCCCTGAGCTAGGCCTACCGCGCCCGCGCTGGCTTAAACGTTGGCGCGGACGCGAGCGCACGGCGCATTGTTGCTCGCATCACCCCCTGACTTGGAACCGGTTCTACAACAAGACTAAAAAATATTTTACAGTCTCTCACCCTTTACCATTTTTATTTCGTTCAAATTATTTGCCGTTGTAGCTAAAACGTTTATATGACATTCTTATCAAATTACACACAACGTATTTTTAACTGTAATAGAATTTTTACAACAGGACTGCCAATTATATTCTCAGATTATAATTAGTAATCAAAAATATTATACCTATATTTGAATTTAGATTTAAGACAATACATACACATTATTTGTTAGTATAAATATATAAAAAATCAAATAAATATTTAAATTTCTAAGAATTCTTACTTTTAAACATTTTAAGACTGATATAGACGTCTCATTCAGCTTTATATTTATTTACAAATATTTAATTGATTCTTAATCATTTTGGGTGGTGATGATAAAAAGGATAATACAAATTTAAAGCACCTTTATATGTATAACTGACAAGAGAATTCTTTCTCACTGGATTATTTTACAATTATTAACTTGTAAAATATTATACTCTTAATGCATTTAAACATTCATGGTAGCGTTTTTGCTAAATAGAAGATGTCCTATGTTTGTTTAAGGATAGATAATTAAGTCTTAATAGTTTAAATGTTTCCGAACGACTGCCAGCGATAGTATACTAAAAGTATCAAAGCTTGTTAAATCATGTCGGTTCCCTTTTGGTAAATTTTATTTATATATATTGAGGCCTAAATTTTTGTTAATATGCAAAAGTATCGGTCTAAATAAATATAGTATATCTACTTTGATTTGTTGAAATTGGCGATGCTTTATAAATCCATTCCCTCAATTTAAAAAGCATATCATGATACAAGCCTATTTTTGTAGTTTTAGTTGCTATTTTAAGCGATTTATACTTTGTTCTACAGTTCGCAGTTCTATTGAGTTCCGCTGTATGCTGGTTTTTAATGTTTTTGTACAATATTATTTTTAAACTAATTTAAAAAGAAACAGAGTATAAATCGTCAGGTTGCATTTAATTTATATTAAGTAATTGACGGCAATAAGTCAGTTTATGATGAAATTTGAAGCGTTTTAAGCGCATTTTTCATAGCAATATTTGTATATAAATTAGATAGGTTAATTATTATTATACGTTGAAATTTTTGTATCTTTTTAAGAGAGCTTTATGCGGTGTGACGCATGTACATAAATGTTAGAGAGTAGATGACAATTATTACTTCGTGAAATTTAAAATTTCACCTATCTTGCAATTTATTGGATATAAAAGTGAACCCCTCATATTCGCGATCCAATTATTAAAATTTATCATTATTATGAAATCCAACAATTATTTTCTTTATTGAAACAACATATAAAATATATTATTTATTAATATAAAATAAACGATTTATTAATTTGTTCTTCATTTCTTTTCTATTACCTTCTACACCCTATATTTACTAATTTATTTTACTACTTTATGTTTTAATGTGTGTTTGTTAAACTGATTTGATGCTGAATAATACTTGACAACCGCCAAATTAGTACGGCCATAGATTTCTAAATTTACATTACATTGCCATTAGTGTTGCTGATTGTACTTTTAAATGTTTTAATTCTAATATTTAATATTGTATGCGATGATCGGTGTTCACTTTTTAAGATTTGTATATGAAATTTTTCGATTACGACCGTGAGCTAGTCCGAAATATAAAATGTACATAGATAGATGTTTGTTACCTGTATATTGTAGATAGAATATTATTCTTTTGACAATTATTGTATATTAGTATTTCATTCATTCTAAAATAATGTTAATGCTATAATTTATAGTGAAATTATGTTAAAAACGCTCAGTAGAATAAAAAAATAAATATCAGACGGATTTGTAAGTTTTTTGAATGTGATTGCGATACTTAATTTTTATTATATGATCTGTTTTGTTTTTCTTAGCAGTACATTGCAGAACAGTACTTTTTGTAGCCATATTTATATTTTTTTAAAACGGACATTATGTGTAAGTTCCCAATTCTTCAGACATGGGTTCTAAATAAATAAATCCGACATTAATGTGAAATACTTGTTTTATTTCCTGGAAATTATCTTCGCCAACCCAATACTAACTGGTTTAAAAAAAATATGCGCTTTACTCTTAAGTTGTAAAGTATATGCGAAGGTTTAATTTATTTTTATCTCAAATAACATAATAACATTCATGTTTTTAACGATACATTCTGCACTACACTTTTAAATGTGTCATTTATAAATAGTTTTTAATTTTACAAAATAGAGCTTAAAATATGTAGTCTTACAAAAATAACTCGTCTCAAAACTGTTATTAAGTCTGTCAAGTAAACATTTAAAAGGCATAAAATAAAAGGCATGAAATATATTTTATTAAATTTGTGTAGACCAGATTTAAAGAGTAGGTAGTCTGTGGGAAACACAAGCTTGAAATAATATTTGATATAATTTAACAAATATAAATAAGTGAAATGAATATTCTAATAAATATATATATTTAATTCCTCATAAAGTCCGCATTTCATTATCATTGAAATAAAATATATTTTATATATGTAGTAAATTTATTATGATTAACGAAAATAAAAAAATTTGCATTTTACATTCGGATTTTTCCTGACAAATTTTATAACTACTATTTGAGATTCACATTAAAAAGAAGAGAGAGAAATACTACGTTTGTGTTCAAAACAAAGTTTATTTGTAACCTGTTTTTATGTTCGTTATTAATTGGCTGATGGAAAACTTGTTGTTGAGTTCATAATTGACGAAAAGTGAATATAGTTATTTGCAGTAATTAATTGTTTTATTGGACATTTTTTTACACTACAACTACGTAATAAATTTATTCAATTTATCAATATTTTTATTATTAAGTATTTAGTTTGGACGCTTTATAATCACAATTTTTACTTTACTTCACATTGATTAATTAGGTACTGAATGGTTGATATAAAAGATAATGAGTTCCAGTTGGGCAATGACGGCCGAGTTCAGTTACGAAATAGGTTATGGTAAGCAGATGTTAAATGAACCTTTATATAGAGCAGATATGATTTATTGAGATAATGTTACATTATTTATTCTATTACATACTATCACTTTCTAAATTTTGTGAATATTAAAAAAATATTCTATAGAATTATTGAACTAATTCTTTAGACTACTTATCAATATTCTTTATTAGGAAAATTAAAACTTCTTTGATGACATCTTTGTTAGTTGTACAGCATTATTAACAAAATCTGCTTGTACAAAAACAGTACAGTTTACCAAATTAACACTAAACACAAAATACAATAACAGAAATTCCCAAAAATTTCTTTTCGATTATGATTTTCTCTGCCATTTACATACCGAATACGTCAAATTAGTAATGGATGTCTCTTATAGCCAAATATCAGATTGTAAAAGATATATAATCATACTAATATTACTATTACTATATATAATAAGTCTCATAATACTTTAATATTTCTAACAATGCTAACAATAAATATCTATTTTCAATATCTCTTAACAAATATACGGAAACACTAAGAAATCAGAAGTAAATAAAGTAGAAACAGCCTCTGCAGCACACTTGTTTACTGCGGTGTAATTAACTTTTTATTTTCATACGACTCGGCCGTCGGCATTTTCCCACAGATTTGATGTTTTAGTTTGTGTAAATAAATTCGTTATTTATAAAGGCATCGTCAACGGAGTCGTGGCTTCATTTTATCAACAAAATATATTAAAGTAAACATAATTTACTTGGAATAAAATATTTTAAAGATGATGAAGTTATTAGATAAATAAAACCATGTACATATTAACTACATAAATAAATATTGAACCGTAGCAAATTTTTCGAACACTATAAAAGAAAAGTAACTTTAAATATAACATGCACTAAAAATAAGCGATCTTAAAAAGAATATCCGCAAGCATATCCTTATGGATAAATACAAATTTATCAAGGTTAACGAGTATCGTTTATGTAATTATATTATTTATTATTTTCGTAAGTGAGCCACATACTTTCTCTAACAGATATTTTACTTTACTTCAGTTTAATGTGCCATTGAACTAAACTTTAATGCAAATTGTTTTCTGTAAAGTCGTTCAAATTACGACGTACTTTTCTCTATATTGTTTTGAGACAAAGGAATAGAATATTTTGTAGCCACTTCCTTTATGTAAACAGCAATAGTCTTTAACGGTAGACGTAGTTAAGACGATATTATCGTTTACTAGGTATTTTGTTCTGAAACGGTGAAAGGCGTTAAATTTAAGATAACAGTCTTCGAGATTTACGGTTCGAAGAATCTTATAAACTTTAACGGGGTAAATTTATTAATTGTCAAGTTTGTAATTCATAAAAGGGTCAATAATTGACAAAAAATGTAAAGTTCAATCGACCTTCAACTTGCTTTTATATTCACCGTAAAAAATTAAAGAGGTTTTTTTTTGCATTTCCATAAATAATCCTTTCCCTAGTCACATATTAAGCTTAGAAAGTAAAGAATATATTTAAAATAATCTTTCTTAAGGTTTCAAATCTATGTATTACTTCTCATAAGACAATAAGTAAATTAAAAATGTTAACAGTCGCAAATACAGAGACGAATGCGAGAAAAAACGCATATACATACAGAAACAAATGGACACTCATTTTATGGATAATTTTTATTATAAAATGTCACATTTTTGTGAGAGATATCGAAATGTGAAATAAGGTTTGGGAGGGAACGCCTGGGTATTATTTATAATTGTATTGAATAAAATCCTTGATACCACATACGTGGACAAACTTTTATAGTTAATGATAAAATCCATAGCGAATACACTAAGGAACAAATACAAACCGTATTTTTGTATCAGACACCAACAAACTTTTGCGACCTGCAGTTTATTACAAATTATATCAGTTGGGATATTTTCTTT